AAAAAGGTTGTGAAAACTTGAAACGAATAAAATAGCCAACCAAAGTTTGAAGGTTAGAAACCTTGTATCGATCACCATGTCCAGTCTGAAATACTTCAACCAATGCTACTTGTTTTAGGGAGCATCTCGAACAACGAGCATCGGTCATCTGACTCCCAACATATAAGGATCCCATTTAGAAAATATACATATATAAACAACGAAAATTAGAGACTTCAATCACAAACATTTCCCTTCACCGTGTTACAAGAATATTTAAAATTCTTCCACAAAAGCAAAATAAAAGAACTTAAGAAATGCAGAAGTTACTACTATTTATACAATAGTCAGTAAAATAAATATACACAAAATATTCTTGTAAAATAAATAACTTCTGCATTTTGAATTTACTGACTATTGTATGAAATAGTCAGTAAAATAAATAACTTCTGCATTTCTTAACTAAAACATTTAGTAAAACATTTTACTGACTATTTTGTTGTAAAATTTTACTACTATTTCATAAAATAGTCAGTAAAACATTTAGTAAAACAAAATAAATCTGAATTTTGCATTGAACCAAATATGAATTTTGGATTGTTACAACAATATTAGAAAAATTAATACACAAACGTAGTTATTTTTATACAAATATCTTATCTAACATTATAGGAAATCACAACATTTTATAAACTTATTGAAAAAAAACCATATATATTAAACAGTTAAATATGTATTCTACTATATTCTTCTAAAAAGTAAATAAAAAAATTAAAATAATTAAAATACACCCTATGCATCGCACGTGTATCAATGCTAGTGAATGCTAATAATTATAACTCCCTAAAATTACATTAGTGACCGTAGGTCTTTATTTTAGTTAAGGGCATTATTGGTAATCCAAACCAAGAAACAACTCTCCTTTTAAGAGGGATATAGATAGGAACCTGCATGTGTCCAGGCTCCTCGGGCTGCCGGCTCGCAATTTCCTCAGCAGTTAAACCCTCCTGCACGAAATCGAGAGTGTTATGAGTGAAACAATTCCATTGACATCATTCAACTTGAAGAGCAAATCCCGTTATCAGTTGCTAATGGCAGATGTGAGCAGACGGATTGCAAATCTCAATTAATATGACAAGCTAACCAGAAGCACCTTCTTCCTCCACAAAAACCTCGAACAAAATCAATAGAATAAAAGTACAAAATGACAACAGTTATATAAAAAGTACAAAAAATGCTAGATGAGAAAGGTATCACAAAATAAACAAGTCTTTCAGTTCAAACTCCAGCTCCACAAAATGATTGGTATCCCAGAAGATGGTCTAATATCCAATAATAATTAGGCTAGTTCATAAAGGGACAGCCAACAATAATTACGCTAATTCATAAAGGGATAGCCAACTAAATAGGTAAGTCTCAAAGTAATGTCAAAATACAATGGGAACACACAGACACACACAAAAAAGTCCAAGTTTTGACAATACATTGCTTTAGCAACATTCTATCAACAAGTTGCCTCATCAGACTCTAAACAAATGCGTAGAAGAAAAAAAAGAAGGATACCTAATATGCAATTTAATTTAATGGATAACATATGATGAGTATATGGATGACACCAAAGCAAACATCGGCCATGTCCACCAACAGTGGAACCAAATCTGACTATGTTTTATGCCATAAACACATTAAAAAGGCAAAAATATGCCAACTACCATAAAAAACTTAAAACAAGACGAGAATTAAGGGCTAAACTGTAGCAATATCATAACCATAAATTACAATGGCATGTATTACTAACAATGTCATGTACTACCAATAACGTCATTTCATACAAAGTCAAAGCTGTATAATAACAACATAATGACTAAAAGAACAATTGAAAAAACAGAGCAACCAAAAAAACAAGTGAAGTCAGACATAACATTTGGTGTTTTTTTCTTTTCCACCATAGCCCCATTTGACATCATTAACAGAACATAATTCTAAATAGAAGATTAAAAAATAATATATATATATATATATATATATATATAAAGAAAACAAAAGACATAATAATTTGACCTGCAACAGAAAAGGTTATAATAATAAACTTGGAGAAAGCAAACACCAGTACCTTTAACTCATTAGGCGACATATTGAGTATCTGAGCAGGTTCCAATTCCTTATTCAGAAGGCGTCGTGCTAATACAACATTACTCTGCAATAATTCAACAAAGTCAACGAAGAGTCAAGTTACAGACAGACCAAAGAAGACACATCCACAGAGAAAAAGAGAACAAGTTCAACAATATAACAAAAATCATTTACGAGCATCTGATGCAAACAAGCATTCAAATCCTGCAGTCACTCGTACCAAATCACCACAACCTTGTTTAACGATATCCAATAAAAAAGTTACACATGCGAGAACAAAATCATGATAAAAAAGCAACAATGGAACGACCTTAAGATTGAACGCTAATTGCCGCATCTTTTGATTATACTTCTGAAAATCTGCAGAAAGCGTCTCATGAGCAACTTTCTCAAGAGCAGCCACCGCATGAGCTGCTGTATCTGGCCAGTCAGATGATGCATCACCCTAAGAAAATACATAGCCGAGAAAGTTTTACTTTCTACAAAGAAAGGTAATTCAGAAAATGTCTCTGATTTCTGGGAGGGAAAAGAAAAGAAAGAGTAATGGAACCTTATCTTGAAGTTTATTTTCTGAACCTTCACCATCATTCTTGTTTCCATCCTGTTCATCTTTCTGCTTACCATCAGAACTGCAAACAGACTGAATTGATTGAAGTAGCTTCTCCAACCACCTGTCACGCTGTGTTTCCCCAGTCGAGAGCTTAAGATTAGACAGGATCAAAAAGTATTCGGATCCGGTCCCACAAGTGCTCCCAGGAGTTTCTGCTTTAATTGACTGGGATCTAGTAAGTCCTCCATCCACCCTGGTAACATCCAAAGGAGATACGTTCCTCTTCCTTATAAGTCGTTTACTCTTCAGTGGATCTTCATGCTCCACAGTAGCATCCTCAGGCTCAAGATCAGGAAGATCCCCGATTCGTGCAAGAGTTTTCTGAACAAGGAGGTCAATCTCGTGCTGCTTATTGTCCTCATAATCTTTGTCAGTTAACTTGAAAAGCCTCCTCTGTTCTGTGTCATAAACTTTTTGCACGATGAACCCAGGATGTTGTTTGCGGGGTGGAATCTGCTTATTTTGAGGTATAAAGTGCACCACGCACTTATGCATGACTGATTCTGCTGGTACTTCATCTCTGTGGAAACTATAGAACAGTTCCCTTGTGTCACTCGATTGCCAATTTCCACCCCCTTTCTTCTCTGCTTCTTCTGGACGGTAGAACCACTGCCCGGTGACCATAACAGCCCCTTCCCGTGTTTGGGAAACATCCTATATAGCAAAAAAAGAACTGATTAACACTGCTTGCAACAAAGGCTTATATTGTAATTTGTGAACTGTGCATCCAGATAACCAAATGATGCATTTTGTGTTCAGACAAACTTCCATCAACTTAAAGGATCTAATAGAGAAAAGCATAAGAATAAGTATAACTTTTTGTGTCACGAATATGAAAATATTGCTTAACGTATATAATGACAAGAATCATCTATGGATCAATCTTATGGACACATGTGCGAATGTCTGAAATCAACCTACGATGAGGCATGATCTTTTCAAAACACACAACATTTAATTCTTACAAGCCAAGAAAATTAAAATTAGAACTATCTAGAAATATCTTTATACATCCTAAAAATCATAATCTCATAATCAGGACAGAGAGAACAAACCCTTTGACATCACCTAAGACTTAAATGCACTTGATATGAAAATCTACAAATCGATATTACTTGAAGGCCCAAGGTAACAACAAAGGAAGCATGAATAGAGTATATAAACGGATCTTAAGGGGACACTAATCTTTTCAATTTTAAACCACCAGTACCTGTACCAACTACCAACTAGGTGTTCCAACAAACCAAAAAGGCCATGAATGTGGTTCTATGTTCTCAAAATGAAATCTTCCAGCAAATAATGAAAAAGGCAGCAGCAAGAATTAAAGGGGAAAACTACATTATCATTGCATAATTGTCTTATTCGGAGAAATTAAAGCATTTGAGAGGAGAGATTACCTTAATTATTGCCACGTATGGTTTCTGATTCCCATTCTCAGGAACTAAGAGCACTGGATCCTCCTGAAATAAAAATCACATGAAGGTTCGCGCTTCATCAGCGGAAAAATTATTAACGCGAGACAATAACTCATGTGTTCAAGGTGACTCCAACCTGTGGCATCTTATAAGAGTGTAAACATAATCCACCAAATTATATAATCCTAAATTATTCAAAAAAAAAAAAAAAGGAGTTGGACCAATGGGTGTTAGACTTAACTGTAGTAGACTTCCATTTTCAAGGAGAGGAATCCTGACAATTTGGTTTACATATAAATGACATATACTTTTGCCCGAGAAAATATTGAAGTTCAAAATCATATTCAAACTACATAAATTATAGCAACCTATTGACACAAATTCAAACCAATCATCTGTCAATGCAATTATACTGGAAAGGAGAGAAATGTTATCAGTACCTAAAAGCAAAAATGAAAGCTAATGTCTCTTTCCCATATTATTAAAGCAGAAAAATGAGTAACAAGGTCAAATAACTCTAGAACCTCCAAAATAAACAAAAAAGAGTGGCTAAAAACACAAAACACCTACGAGGCCAAAGTCAAAATCCCCAATTGCAAAGTATTTCCTCTGCAAGGGAACCCTAACAAAACCCTTAACCATTCAGAGACATCAACACACCCAAAATAGAAAGGACTCACCAGCTGATATTGAAGACCGTCGTACTCGAAGGACGCGAAATGACTCCGCCTCCCTCTCCCCTTACCCGAAACCCTAACAGCGTCGCCCACCGGCAGAGCTTCCAAATCCTCCGGCTCTTCATTTTCGCTTTCGGGCTCTAGGTCGGGCTCCGGATCCTCCCTCTTTTTCCTCTTCTTCTGCTTCAGCTCACTCAATTTCACCTCGTCCAAGTCCCTATCCTCGTCCTCCTCCTCGTCAGGGAATTGCACCTTCTTGCGCTTCCTCTGGCTTCTCTTCTCATCGCCGTTTGGGTTGCGAGGCGGCGGCGAGTTGTCCTCGTCGTCGCTGGTGGGCACGAACCGGCGGTTTCCCATTGTCGCCCGATCACGCCGAACGACTGGAATGGGTTGTTCGTGCTATGGAATACTGGTCAGCTTGCGGCAACGCGCCAAGAGAGTGTTATTGGATTTGTACAAACCAATTGGAAGTTGGGCGTGGAAATATCGGTAAATATATTAATAAGCCAGTAAATAAATATCATGGTCCAAATAAGAGCATGCTTGGATATGCGTGACATTTTAAGATTATGATGGGGAAATATGGTACAATATTGGTCCAAATATTGGATTTTATAAATTTTTGAAATGCTAATTCAAATATGCCTGAATTTTTCCAGATTGTTGGGGGAAATATGGTACAATATTGGTGACTTTGGAATGAGTGTTTTCAAAGTTTTATTTATAAAAATAATCACATAAATGATTTACTACATTTTTTAATGTATACAACAACACAAATTTGTTTTACCATCTGATTCGATTATGATTTGGTCGACTCGGGATTGTTTTAAATATTTTTGCTTTTTTTTTTTTCGTTTTGGAAATGACATGTTGATACATTTTTTGATGTGTGACATTGATTTTCATATTTTTTTTTAAAATTCAAGTTGCATGGAAATAAATAAGTTATTTTCGTTTTGATTAGTTTTGATTTGATTTGTTGGTTAACAAAGTTAATTTTAAAAAAGTTCATATTTGAGCCACATTTTGAATTTGTATTAGAATAGTATTTAAAATAAAATAATTAAAATTGATTTGATATAAAAATAGGAGAGAGACGATTAAAATTGATGAATAGTTAAAATTATGTGAGTTGATGAATAATAAATTAAAGTTGACGTGATATAGACATGACCACGGGTTAAACTAATTCGTACCGGCCCATAGACCACGGGCCTTGGATCGGCCCGTGATTTTATCCAGACCGGTTTCTGTTCAAGCATTCACAATTTTTGAACCGACGATTCAACCTTCTTTTTCATTTTTCTTATTACTGTATAAATATTTATTATCTTAATAAATTGGACTATCCTGGAACCGATGACTCATGAACCAGCACAGAACTGTCGGATCATTAAACATGCCTGTGTATGTTCCCGGCCCGATTTAGGACCCCCAAAACGAGGACAGGAACCGGCGTTCCGACCAAAAACCGACCCAAAATTGAGTTTTGACCATGTCTAATGTGATATGTGACAATGTGAGAGTTGTTGATTGGAATTATATATATTGATAATATAATGTAGCGCACCAAAAGATTAGGAGTAAAGAGAAGAATTCATCTCTCAACTACGTATTTTCTTATTCAAAATTAACATAACTTCACAAAAGAGGAGTCATTTAAATAAGTTCCTAAAACCCTATCTAGGGCTAGTAATTCTATTAGATAATGAAGTTTGATAGTAGAATTAATTTGATGAGTCGATCCAGGGTGTAAACGGAACCATGAAATAGAAATTTCTCTTAATTTATTTAATTTAATTTTTATTTCTGTTGTTTAGATTGTATTTGTTTCATTAGGATCTTAATTAGTTTATATATTAGATCACAATCACCCCTCTCTCCTCCCTCTTTTATTGCTTTTATAATTCCAGTTAATACGAGAAAATTCTCAATTTGATTCACACTCCTTGTGGGATCGACCCTTTACTCGACACTACTACTAGTTAGTAGAGGTTGGTTAAGAAAAATATAAATTCTAAGCTGTCGTGTTGTGACGCGGTCATTGACCCCCTCCAACAGCATCGGGGTAACAGTGCAAATGAACTGCGCATAGAAAAAACAACCAAATAAATAAATAATGGTAAATATGAAAATGTAAACAGAAATTGGGGAGCAAACTCTAGAAAAAATTAGGCAAGCTATTGAACGCTCTGGCAAGCCTGCTAACGAGGCTTCACCTTCACCTTATATCAACACACCTCTGTCTCAGACATGCACGAAAACAAGTAATGGGCGATCCAATCATGGTAATTCTCAAAACTTCTGTCGCTCCATGCCCGCAGGGGCAGAGAGCCCGTCGCTGTCTCAGTTGTGCTACCGGAAGCTCTGGAGAAGTCGGAGTAGGCCCAAAATCGGCGGGAGTAGCCTCGCAACCGTCCGAAGGGAAAGTCCTAAGCCGCTTATGGGACTCTACCTCAAAACGGTTGGTCGTCTGGCATTCGGGAGTGGAGAAGACAGCGTCTCTAGGAGGTGTTGACTTGTGGCTTGATCGGGTCTGCCGGCTGGATTGCTCGGCAGCCACGAAGTACGTCGTTGGGCAGTGCAAGGAGAATGGGTTTGAGGTTGATCCTCCTTGGTGACACGCGAGCTGGAGAGTTTTGTTTTTATGGAGTCACGGGCAATGATATTTGTTTGTCCCATTTTTGTTGCGTTTTTCCTTGTTATTTTTCCTTTCTTTTTTCCCCATATTAGTTTTTTTAGTTAGTTTTTATCTCTTTTTGTAGTTTATTGCGTGTTTTCCTCTATCTTGGTTTTTCTTGTGTTTTCCGTATGTTTTTTCGGTTTTTCTTCGTTTATGGTGTGTAGGTTGAAAGCTTTGGGAAGATCGAATTTTGGGCAAAAGTCAGTTGGGCAAGCGTAATTAGATAGAGGAGTTCGTTGGGAACACACAGGAAAAAACGGAACTCAATTCCGATACCAGACGAGCCCGAACGACTCCAAAAGGTGAAGTAGTGCGAGCTGTCCATCCCAGCCAACTGCACGCCCCGCGCCGCGGCACTACCCCGCTTCGCGCCGCGCCTACGCCACGAGGCCAACTGGGAAGAACGTCCAGCAAGTCTGCCGCGCCATGACTGATCCTTCGCGCCGCGAGGCGGCCCTTCTCCGCGCCGTGCTAGGATTTCCACGCCGCGTCACTCGCCTAACTATAAATATGGATCATGACCAGATTAAGGAACACCTCTCGACCGGGGTGAAAACCCTAGGTCCAGAAAAACGCAAAAACCCACTTCTCCTTCTTTTCTTCTTCTTCTTCGTTTTTCTTCTTCTTCTTTTCACTTTTATTTTTCATTTTTCTTCTTCTTCTTTTTAGTAATCAAGGATTGAGCTTTGTACTTTTGGATTCAACACTCGAATTTGGGATTGATTGTGAGTCTTTCTCTTTTGACCAATTCATGAAAATGATTGTTTTGAGGAGAATGATTAATTGTGTTGAATTGATTTTACGTAGCTAATTCTCTTGCTAGGGATAGGGGATGATTGTTCTTGGTTAATTTGCATTTGTCGGGCTTAAATTGTTCATGCTTATGTGAGTTGATACTATTCAGATTTGATGAATTCTTGCTTGATAGTTTGATATAATCGAAGGGTGACACTTCGATCTTGTGATTGGAAACAATTGAATATTGATTGTCGAGTTAGGTTTTGTCGATTCCCATGATTAGTTGATTAAACACCTTCTAATTGAATTAGCGACTTTTAGAACCGAAAGGGGAGAAGTCGTAGACCTAGACTCGCATGAGATAAATGATTTCGTAACTGAATAGTCTATAGGTTTTGGATTGAAATACGTACTTGTCGATAACCCGTCTCTTGTTACGAAAAGTTATTGAGACTGGGATAATTGACATGTGTTGTATGCTCGAGCTAGCTCGTCTATGTTCAATCCCTTGTTACGAAGAGTTATTGGAAGCGAACCGCTAGATGTTTAAGCGAGAGTGTTAATCTAGAACTTAACAATTGATTGCTCGGTTTTGCTAAGAACTTGAATAAATTATCCCCGATTCCCTAGCTTCTCCATCTTGTTCCGTTTACATTTTTAGGTAGATTATTGCTTTTTAATATTTCTTGGTTAGTAATTATTTAAACCCTCTATCTGATTAGAGTGTTTAGGATTTATTTTCTTTTTCTGTGTGATCGATACCAAATCTAAATTCCGAACCGCCTTCCTCGTGAGATCGACCCGGGGAACGAATCTTTTGATTTGGTACTCGGTAAAAATAATAATTTGTGCTACAACACTTTTCTATTCAAATAATTTTATGAATATAATACATAATTTACAAATTGTTATCCCAATTATTTTATAAGTAAGATTTATAAATATAATCATATTTACAGGGAATGAACTAACGGGAGACACACATGGCTAATACAATTTTTACTTATAGATTTAACATAATCGGACTGTTCCTTTTTTATTTTCACAAAATCTAAAACTTTTATAAACATAAAATCAGCTAATAGAATTTAAATATTTGGCAGTTTTTATTTTTTAATAAAAAAAAATTCGGCTGATTAAAAATAAATAAAAAATAAGTAAAATTTTTATTTTCTTTGTTTAAATCACAGATTCTAGATATCTTAGTCTACAAATTTAAATTGCCAATGGTTTAATGTTAAAATGTGATGTATATAGACTTAGATATATGTATCACATATCATTGCCTAAATTAATGATTTTATTATTTTTAAAAATACCAAATCTTAGAGTGGAGTCTTATTTATTTATTAAAGGATATTTTACACTAGATTCGTGTTCTATTCAAATTCAAAATTTAAAGATATGAATATAAATTTGGATAGATTAAAGAAATATGATCCCTTAAATGAAAGAATTTATTCCTTCAAAATACACATAATCTAAAATGTAAATGTAGATTTATTAAACACGTGTGTCAACAAATATGGTTAATTTTAAACTTCCTATGAGGACGGATTTGGTTATATTTCAAATTCAATATCTAAAAAATTGAAATATTAAAATTCAAGATCTTATCACAGTTTTTTATTCTGAAAATTACTACACAAATAGGCAAGAACATAATCATAGAGTTACTATTTGATATGACATCTATTGGTTGGAAAGAATTCCATTATTTTTTTTGGAATTCTAAAATTAAACATATTTTATAATCAGCCGTGATTTTGTGTATCGATTTTTGTAGGCCTAATTAAATATAAATTTATATTGTTTCAATGTTTTGGGACCTTTTTTTTTACGTTTTNTTTTCCCTTAAGAACCGGATTTACGTGTCAAATACCTTTTAATTTAACATAGCAGTATCCTTATAAAACCGGGAGTTTATAGAATGAAATAATCTATATCCACAAATATGTATATATGTTAAGAATAACCTTTTTCAAAAATAGTAAGTCAAATCTTGGTTAAAAATCCGGTCAGTATTAATTGCTTTCCTTTTTCGGAAAGTTTTATTAAAATATGTTTTTCTATTTTTTATATAAATCGGGCAGCAATAAATGCTGCCTGATTTTGTGGATTTTTTAAAAATCAAATTTCAAAATCAACCATGCAAATTTCTAAGTCATAAAAATTGGCAACTCAAATTTCAAAATTGGCAAGTATCTAATCATTCCTTATATGAAGGATTTCATAAATTTTTGGACACTTTAGTATCAGTTAAAGTGTATTATAATTTACCATATTATGATATTCCCTAATTAAAAAAGAATTAATGTTAACATAATTTAGAAAATATCGAAGTACGTATTATACAATACTATATTTTTTTTTATCTTATAAAAATCTTAGTTTCGTATCATACAATCCAAATTTTTATCTTACACGGTATTGGCTTGCATTTGGTAACTCTCGCGGTGCATTTGGTAGCAGAATTTGGTAAATCTAAGCATGTATTTATCAAAATATTATTTTAAATTGCAAGATACAACCGGAATTAAAAACATATTATCTATGACAAACCATTATTAATGTGTATTTTGTTGCATAGGAGAAGTGCAATTGTGAATCTATTTTTCACAGAATGATAAGATAAACATTGTATGAAATTAAAATCAAATCAACCTTAAAACAAGATTAATCTTTAAAACCAGTATCCCAATTGTACACGGTTCGAGTAAATAAATATTGTAGTCAAAATCGGAACAAATCTCATTTGTACACGTGCATTTCAAATTTATGAGATAAACTTCCATTGGATCCATGATCAACATCTAAAAAATCTAATTTTGGGAACATACCTAACCAACGTGATAAGGACCACAGAAGCTAACATAAAAATACTCTATTATATGAATGTGATGTAGTCCAAACTCCAAATAATCAGATTAATAATACTTTTATTATACATGTTTAATGATTTATGAATATTTATATATCACTTTATTTATATTTATGTGAAAAATAATATTTTATTATATTTTTTTATTAATCTACTGTAAATATAAGATTATCATAACCAGACCGTCATCGAAACGATCAAGTTATTTTATAAACTATTTCATATATATATAGTACTTTTTGTAATAAATTTAAATAAAAGGTGTTACTTAAATATCTAAACAATTTAAAATTTCAAATGTTTAAACTAATTGATAAACAATATATAAATCTCTATTTTATTTAAATACGTATACTTATTTAAAGTAATTTTAAATGTAACAAATTTATTTAGAAAATCGTATCGATCTTGCCAGTCCGATCGGCTGGTGTTGACGGGTTTGATAACATACATTTTATTCAAGCGAATTAGACTGATTATAAACCGATACTCAGTCCACCCGGCCTGACTACCAGGTTTAATTTAAAAACAATGAATGGATCATTATTAATGTTATTTACATATTTAATTTTTAATACAATCATAATATTGTTTCCCCGTGCATTGCACGGGCTACACACTAGTTGTATTTTAAAATGTGATGTTATAATATAAAATAATCATTTTTACGGATTCACTAATATGGCGTGTTTGATTAGGGAAATTTATATATAAAAATAAAAAAAACCAATTATCTATTTAAGCAAACTAGTGTGTGGCCCGTGCAATGCACGGAAAAATAATATTACGATTGTATTATAAATTAAATATATAAATAACATTAATCATGATATATGAATTGTTTTTACATTAAACCGGGTTGGACACAGTCCGACCGGATGGACGGAGAACCGATTTATAACCAGTCTAGTTCGCTTGAATAAGATATTTACTTTTGAATTCGTCAACACCAGTCGGTTGGATTTGTAGAATCGACACAATTTTTTAAATAAATTTTATTATATTTAAAATTATTTTAAATAAAATTACATATTTAAATAAAATAGAGATTTATACATTATTTTTCAATTTGTTTAAAAATTTGAATTTATAAATTTTTTAAATATCTAAGTAACACATTTTGTTTAAATTTATTACAAAAAATACTATATATATATGTATATATTAAAATGTTTATAAATTAAAATCTGAACAAACCACAAATGATTTAATAAAATAACTTGATCGTTTCGATGACGGTCTAGTTCTGAGAACCTTATATTTAGTATACATTAATAAATATTATAATAAAACATTTTTTTGTTCACATAAATATTAATAAAATGATATATAAATATTCATAAATCATTAAACATGTTGTCATAAAAGTATTGTTAATACGATTATTTGAAATTTGGACTACATCACATTCACGTAATAAAATATTTTCAATATAAAATTTATATTTAGGTTCAATAATCGATTTGGTGTGATCGATTTGATTCATAACTTAGTCACCTAGGACCAACCAAGTTGTGTCAAGTTTTTTAACTATTTTAAATATCATCTAAAAGTAATTCAATGAACCTGGGCAGTACCCTAATTCAATCATCTGATTGATCCGAAGAAATTTTCTTATTTTCTTTAAATATATTTAATTTTATGAAATAAAATTATTTTATGATTCATATAATAAATGTCTGTACCAAATGATAGTATATTAAGATTATATATTATATATCTTAAGATGAATTAATTATTTTTACTTTATGCACATTAATAATAAATAATCATAGTAATTTTTAAAAAATTAAGATTAATTGATTGATTATGCAATTTAAAGGATATTTTTAGCGTTCAATTTTTTTTAAAGGCACAAATATAAAGACCGAGATTCTAAAACTTGTGTTATATTTTGAATTGAGATTTTATAAATATAGAGACCGATATTTTAATTTTGTTCGTTGTTTCTAAGAAAAAAATAAAAATAAAAACATACACACTTAATAAATTTTAGCCAGATTTTTTAAATAATAAAATGAACTATAGCCCGAAATTTAAGGTAGCATTTAATGCTGTATGAATCTATATATATATAATAAGAATTAACATTTAACAAAAATAGTAGTAAAAAAAAAGGAAAGAATTTAATGCAATTGTTTTATTATTTTTTTATTTTTATCTTTAAAAAATCATACAACATTAAATGTTACATTAAATTTGGGCTTTAATTCATTTTATTATTTAAAAATTTCAGCTAAGATCTATTAAGTGTACATTTTTATTTTTTTCATAGAAATAATGAAGAACATTAAAATTTCAGTCTCTATATTTATAAAATCTCACTTCAAAAGGTAATAAAAATTTTAGAATCAGGGAAGTATCTAGAAAAATATTTGGGGGTGACTAGAATTGTAAATCGAACAAAATTGTCTGCGAACATAACTCGGCCTGACTAACAGGAGATACATGGACTACATGTTTTATTTATAAAATAGTTTAGAAATATTTTGGGTGACCACATCTTTCAATAATGAAATATAAAATTTTAGATACTTCACATACGTTATATAATATTTTAGGTGTTTTTAATATTTTAAACATACATTTTTTATGTTATTTTATACAAGATAATTTTATATTGTTTACAACTGATATACGATAAATTATGTCACATATTAACTCCACAAATTAATTACAATTTTTAGTTAATATTGTTTACCTTCATATTTAATTTATAATTATTAATTAATATTGTTTACTATCATCGTTAATTTATAATTATTATTTAATATTATTTACCCGTGCATCGCACGGGCTACACACTAGTTTTAAAGAAAAAATAAAAAAAAAATAATAAAAACTTACTATTTATAGACTGCATTAAATTTTTACCTATTTTTTTACTACTATTTTTAGTAAATGTTAAATTTTTATTATATATATATATATAGAATAGATTTCAATGAAGGAGATTGATCAAGTTTTGTGGATGTGAGCTCCAAACAGGTCGCAGTTCTAGGCGTGAAGACATCGTAAGCGATGACGTGTTTGACGGCAAGTGGAGCGGACCACAGTAAAAAGAGTGGATGGTGCCGCATATTATAGTTCCCGTGCCACCTCCACCCGTCTTTTCCTTATTTCCCAGTCTCTGTCTGTTCAGTAAAATAGTAAAATGGCAGTGAATGAAAGAAAAATCGAACTCTATTTCTAAAATCTCTCCCTTGGCTTCGTCTCTCCCATAAGGCAAAATTCTCCGTCGTCCTTGCTCTGTGCTTCCGAAGCCAAGGTACCTCTGTCTTCTGATCAATTCTAGTGTTGTTGTCAGGCTTTTGTTTACGGTTCTGTTCTTTCGTTTTTTGTTCTTGTTTTGCCTCAAGTCTGGTGGCTTAAGTTTTTTTCGGCATTGGAGTTGATTTTGATTCTGTGGTTTTCTATTATCGTTCGTATGCTTCTGCGTTTTATTTTTCGTTTCATTTTATTTTTATTCCTTTAACATTTGAGTTATTTGGAAAGCATTCAAATGCATTTAAGTTGTTGTCTTTCGTTTATCTTTCGTTTTCATTCCTTTACCTTTCGATTTTTGCTCTTGGTTTGCTCCATGTCCGGCGGGTGCTCTTCAGTTGTTGTCTTTTCGGCATTTGAACTGATTTTGTTTATTTTGTTGTCTTTTCGGCATTGGAACTGATTTTGATTATAAGGTTTTTTATTGTGATAACTCGTATGTTGTGCTTTGGGATTTTATTTATTTATTCATTTATCTTTTAAATTCTTGAATTATTTGGAAAGCGTTCAAATGCAATCGATGATTTAAGCAGTAATGGAAAATATGTATCTTCGCGGGATTGTCTTGAGATTTTGCATCGGTCACTGAATTACTCCTTTGTTTATTGAGGAGCAGAAAGTGTAGACTTTTTTCCATTATTTTCCATCGACTTAAAAGTACACTCACAGGCCCTTAATCTTAAACGCTCATGCAACAGTGAAAAGTCATTGTGCTGTATTGAGGTTAGCTGAGGTTTTGCGGCAGGCTGTTTTTGACTGCTTATAGTACTACATATTATATGATGGCCCTTCATCAATTTGGATCTATGTGTATGAAACCATGGTTACTAAATTGACATTGCTTAAAAATGTGTGCTTTTGTGGGCTGTATAATTGAGCATTTAATCCAGCGGACAACTGGTTCTGCAGTGCAGTACAGCATTCTACATTCTTATTATACGTGTTGTTTGATTGAATTTCCCATTGCAGCGAATTGTCTAAAACATGGGCCAGTTTGGATATTTCAGTACGATATTCTACATTTTTTTTTCAGCTTGACGCAGTTAATTACTCGTATGGTTTGTCTTTCAGATTATAGGCATGGCTTTGATGTACCATCCTACTTCATCTCACTGCATTCCTTCCGAGATAACACAGTGCAGAGCTACACATAATGGAGCTAATAGCTTTGCCAACATGGTGCTGTCAGCGAAGAACAAGGAAATCGCCTCCAGTCTACGCTCCCATACACGGAGTTCCTTGAACTTGACTAAAGGTTGGAGTTTTGATGTTGCTGAGGTGAAACAGAGGCGAGGGTATCAGGTTATTGTTGCTGCTAGTCCTCCTACAGAAGATGCTGTTGTTGCATCAGAGCCGCTCACAAAAGAAGATCTCGTAGGTTACCTTGCTTCTGGTTGCAAGCCTAAGGAGAAATGGAGGTTGAACTTCTGGCTGTTATTGGTGAAGGATTATTTGCAAGATTATGCATAAGAAGATTTTTTAAAGTATTTTGTTGGGATTATTTTCAAAATTTATAGCTCATTTGTTCTAACTTCTAAGCTGATTAATCATGAAACTCTTGGTTTTTTTATTGTTCATATTCTTCCTAAAGATATATTTTGTGAATTTTGTGTACTGAGTGCTGGAAGGGCCACACTCATTTTCCTGTAAGCTGAGATCATTTTTCTTGTTAATCTTGTGGGTGATTCTTGGTTTTCGTAAGCCAGTGATTCTTTTAGTTGAATGTGTTCGCTGTTATATTTTGTCTCTTATTGGCTCCATCAAAAGTGGCTTTGGAGAAAGTTGAGATAGCATCAGTTTATTTTTTTATTTTTTTGCGCTGTGATGACTCTTGGGTTTCTAAATTTAAGTCTTGTTTCATAGTCAGAAGTCTCATACAGTAGTTCGGGTCGTTTTCTTCTCTTGGAAGACAAAATTCTAATTACGATCTTTATTGTTGCATGTGCATGTGTTGGATAGCTCATGTACTAAAACTTTGATGGTTAATGTAATCCTAATCTTTTGTTCATGCAGGATAGGCACTGGACACGAGAAGTTTGGATTTGAAATTGGAACATTAAGACCCATGAAATATGATCAGATAGCAGAGCTTCTCAATGGTATATCTGAGAGATTTGATTGGGATAAAATAATGGAAGGTGAATACATTATTGGACTCAAGCAGGTATGTCAATCTCTTTCTGCTATTTTTCATTGACGAGTGGTGAAATATCTATGTTTTCTATTAATACCCTGCAGTGCATTTGATAAGGACTGGATCATAGACTATTGCTAAGTAAATATATTATGCTTCCTATATTCATCTATGAAAGATGTTACTAGGGTCTTTGGAGATGCATTTAAGTTAAAAACCTATTTTATTCAAATGGCATATTCCTATTTCTCAAATCATGCTGTTACATTTGGGGTTGTTGAAATTGAACTCCTTTATTTGGCTTATTGCAATTTTCATAAAATGAATCTTACTATTGGCAGGGAAAACAAAGTATATCGTTGGAGCCTGGGGGCCAGTTTGAACTTAGCGGTGCACCTCTCGAAACTCTGCATCAAACTTGCGCTGAAGTGAATTCTCATCTTTACCAGGTTAGTAGTAGACTTTGATTGCATGAGATGAATCTACAGACACAGTAACATTTATTCAATTGACTATACTCATTGGATTGAGTGGAAAATATCAGGAATGCTTCAATTTCATGAAATCAAGCTTTAATGACGGCCCTAGACTACAATTTAGTCTGGCTTGATTTGTGTTGTGAGTGTTAAACTTCCATAAGATGGATTAGTGGAAAATTTCAGGAATGCTTCAATTTCATGAAATCAAGCTTTAATGACAGCCCTAGACTATAATAATTTTAGTCTGGCTTGATTTGTGTTGTGAGTTTTAAACTTCCATAAGAATATAAACCATGTTTACCTACTCCTTACACATTTGTTCCTTCCAGTACAATTTGCAGCTTGTCTCAATCTATCTTCTATATAATCGATTCGGAAGTGGTTCTTTGACTTTAAAAATAAAAAGCCTCAGCATGTACTCTTCGCATGTGTGTACCCCTTGAAGATGATAAGTGTGTTGCTTTTTAGATGTAGACAACTTATTCTAGGAAGGCATGTCAAAATCCAGCCATTTTGTTAGCTTCACAGTTTGTTGATGAAATACTTCAGGTTAAGGCTGTTGCAAAAGAGATGGGGATTGGGTTTTTGGGAGTCGGCTTTCAGCCCAAGTGGAAACGTGAGGACACACCAGGAATGCCCAAGGTAATGTCTATATCAAAATGGATATGTGGGCTTCACTTAAATTGGGGGCAGCATATATTTTAGAGTTCCATTGGAGATTGTGTGTGTGCATTTTAATGGTCTTTTATTTAGCTGAAGAGCTCATTATCTCATGTGCGACGAAATGTGTTCTTTCGAAGCTATATATGCATGTGCCAGCATTATGATCTTGTGGTTGGGGTTAGCTCATGTCTTAAAAAATCTATTATTTTCCAATTTTTGTGGGGAGTGTATCTTCTTTTTCACAGAATACGCAAGTTAAAGTTCGCATATAATTGAATACAGATATGCGGGACTTGACCATCTCTTATGGCTTCAGATTCGTCTGATATACATGGTCGAAATATTCACTGAGGGAACAAAATCGATGAAGTTGACAAAAATATAAATTTTATTTGTGGTTTCAGCTCACAAAAAATCTGGGTAAAAATTTGGACAACTTGTTGCATATTATATTGAAATTTCAGTAAGAAATAGGTGCATATCACCAACACGTTTACAGAAACATAGAGCTGATTGTCTACACAAAACTATTATTTAACAAGACCATTTTTTGCCATTGCAAATGGAGCTGGAAGAGTCGTTGTTGACCATTTTCCTGCCATAGTGCTAATAATGGACTAGATCAAAATGGCTCAATTAAATTCTAGTGCTTCTTCTATTAGCGAAGTTTCTAGAAAAAAAAAAATATATCAAACGGCGGAATGCACCTTGTGTCGCTACGGAAACAGCCTCCTTGTATAATTACAAGGGTAAGGTCTGCGTACAACTGACCCCCAGACCCCAACCTGTTGGGAATATACTGGGTATGTTGTTGTTGTTGATACTCTTTATGATATATAAACACACTTCCACACTGATGTGCATTATTTTGTATAAAAAAATGTGATGCTAATTTGATTTGAGCCTCCTCTTGATTAAATTTTTAAGCTTCTTAAGTGTCTATGTCGCATCTTGGGTACTGATATGACAAGTTTATGGTTGGTAATTTCCTGGAATATTGATCTGCTTCAGTCCCCAGAACTGATGAGTTGCTTTGGGCTTAGTTTTTCGGTCTTTTGATGTCTTGTTGATAATAGTCTGGGCACATTTGATGCATCCGATATGAGATCTGATGAAAATCTATGCATTTGGATCAGGGAAGATATGCAATTATGAAAAATTACATGCCCAAAGTTGGAACTCTTGGACTTGATATGATGTTCCGAACATGTACTGTTCAGGTAGGAAATTCTGAGTTTTCTCATTGTGGCTTATTTGGTAATACAATATTTTTCTATAAGCCCTCCACTTTGTCAATGCAGGTCAATTACCACCTGCTACGGTCTTTTACCAAATTTCTACACACTCAAGTCTCATGGTCGGCATCATGTACGGAGAAGAAGCAATTGCGGTCCACAATAAAGGCTCAAGCCATGGAATTAACCAAAGAGGCACACTCGTACCGCGAAAAGGACCGAATTCCTAAAGACCCTTGGCATCAAGCGGACACTGCCATCGATAACCAGCACGCGTTATGGCCGCCCGAGAACAAAGCCGATAATCCCGCCCTTAACAACCCTTTGCTCAGACAAGAAAGGATGGGCTGTGGCTGGTTAGGCGTCATATTCGAGTGGGAAGGTGTTCTAGTTGAGGAAAATCCCGATCATGAGAAGCAAGCGTGGTTGACTCTTGCCCTGGAAGAAGGAAAATCTCCCCCACCCGCCTTCATGCTCCCGAGGATCGATGGCATGAAAAACGAGCAAGCAATCGGAGAAGTTCTCTGCTGGTCTCGGGACCCAAGTGAGTTAAAACGAATGTCATCCAGAAAGGAGGACATATACAATTTTTTGCACAGTGGGGATTACAAGTTTCGTCCGGGCTCTCAATCGTTTGTCAACGTCCTCACGAACCACAAGGTGCCTATGGCCCTGGTTTCGACTCGGCCAAGAAAGTCCATTGAGAGGGCAATTGCGGTAATTGGCATCGAGAATGTGTTTAGCGTGATTGTGGCAGCCGAGGATGTGCACAGGGGAAAGCCTGACCCGGAGATGTTTTCGTATGCAGGACAGCTCTTGCAGTTCATACCCGAGAGGTGTATAGTGTTTGGGAACTCGAACTTGACTGTGGAGGCTGCTCGTGATGCGAGGATGAAATGTGTTGCGGTTGCTAGCAAGCATCCGGTGTACGAGCTTGGGGCGGCAGATATAGTGGTGAGTCGGCTTGATGAGCTCTCTGTGGTGGATTTGAAAAATCTTGCGGATATTGAGTCGCCTGAGTTTGGGTTGGATGAACCGGAGATGGAGATGGAGGTCGAGGAGGACGATATTGATGATCGGTACTCGTCTTCTTCTTCGTCTGGAGGATTTTATGATGATTTCTGGTGATACGNNTTTATACTTTCATCTGATTCTTGGACGTGTATGTCTCTCTTGTTATCACTGTGTGCAAAGGGTAGTGGAAGAAAATGTATAATGGGTTAAATTTTCGATTTTGGGGGAGGGGGGAAGAGATGGAATGTTAGAAACTACAGAAGACGGTCTAAATTGAATTACAGTATGTTGTGCCCTGTATTTTATGTGCTGTGTATAATAACATTTGTTTAGACTTTAGAGTTCATAATGTTATAGTTGTTCATAATGTTATGCTGTTTGTATGTTATCCCATGTCTTGGATTTTCCTAGTCCATATTCTCCTGTTGGCACTTGGCGACATCTTGCATGAAGTTTAATGTTTTCTGAATAGTAAATCAACACGAATTGTTGAGATTGACTTAACATCCTGTGTTTCGTAACAAAATCAACTCTACCCATCTGTATGTTTATTTTTTGTTAGTTGTTGGTTTTAATAAAGCATTACTATTTACCGCCTTCCTTATTACTATGTACCGCCCCCTTTGGACATTTTTGCCCCTGCCATTTTTTTCCAAAAAGTAAAAAAAAAAAA